TTGATGGCATAGTGGCTGAAGATGTATTCAGGACTGGAGGTAGGGGTCGTCCACAGAAACAGTACAAAGTTCATTTTAGTTATCAAGAACCGAAAGACGACCGCTGGTTTACAAGATCTGAACTTCTAGAGACAGCTCCCGACATAGTCCGAGCCTACGAGAGACAGCAGAAGGATAAAGGTCCTGCCTTGGACTGAAATGTTCTCGGAGGACCTCGAATTTAGGCCGGCGGGAGTGAAACGGTATTCACCAATTCGTGGTAGCTGATGCAGGTCCCAGGGCTCGATCCCTGGTTCCCCAACTTGCCTGTGTACAATACCTGCGTCAACTCGAAGAGTTGAACCCCCGACCTGTAGAACCGCCAGTGGTAGGTAGGTCTGTTGTAGGTCTATAGGTAGCCAGGATTCGATCCGTAGCCCTGTAGATTAGAAGGCTAGCTGCAGTCCTTCTAGAAGGTTGGCAAGTGGTCAAGTGGTGCAGGCAAGTGGGCAAGTGGTGTGACTAAAGCAAGCCCACGTTGGAGACAAGGACAAGTGGCAAGGTCAAATAGTAGGACCCCAGTGCAACTGCACTGCGACGTAGGGTCGTCGTCATACAGTCAAGGGAGAGTCTAGAAAGTACCAGTCTGGTCCAGCAAGTACCACGGGGGGGACTGTGTGCACCATGGGCCAGGGACACAGGGCAGACCAATGCAGCGCAGAAGTATAAATCAAGAGGCTGCGTCCAGCCATGGATCATTTTCCTGCGGATGCCATGCGGAAGCGCTGCCTTMGCAGCTTGTGCGAGGAGGTCTGCAGTGTGCCCGAAGACGAAGTGGGCAGAGAAGTGTAGTGTAGCGATAGGTAGTGGCAGCTAGCGCTGCCATAGCTGTAGCATAGCRTGTGTGTGTGTTGCGTATGATACTGAGTGTTGCGTGTGGGACATCCAGGGTGATCCAGAGTGCGAACAGTGAGTTGTGTGGGCGCCCAGTTGCCATAGCCAGTTGAAGAGAACTCATATCTGGTTACGATATCTTAAGTACTGTGAGGGCGCATGTCGCCAGTTGCTGTATCGCTGTTTGCATGCAAGACAAGTGTGAATAATCGGAGTGTGAATGCACAGGGGCCATGCTAATCTTCTCTGTATCGTTCCAATTTGAACGGATGTCCCGAAGGACAAGCGTCTGATAGTTCTTTCGTGTCCCGTAATTCAGTTTTCATTTTCTCCACACTCACCAGCTTCTGCTTTTACTTCATCCCACTGGCGGAGTCCTTGCACTCTTGACACTCCCTTGCTAATCCAAACTTGTCCGAAAAAATATCACCGGCTTTGGAGGAAGCTCCCAACCTCTCCCCTCTTTAGAAAGAAAGAGGGGAGGGGTCGACTCGTTTTCGAAGATAGGTTGGCTTAAACCACTAGTAGTACATGGGCCCAGCCAAGTTGAGAATCCGAATGAGCCTCTCCTTAAATTTTGGAGGCTTGGGACAGGGTGTCTGAAGGGCCAGTAGAAAAGTCCCACGCTGTGCGGTGGCACTAGGCCCAGCCCTGAAAAAAAAGAAAGATTTTGGCACGTTCCAAGGCGGGCCCTGTCCCATACTGTCCCAAATTCCCTAACTTTTTGGAACTCTCCAGAATATACACATATGTATGATACTGATAATGTCATGTCTAAATAACATAAATAATATATATCTATATCTCTATATAAACAATCAAAGAATAGAATGTACTGGTGCTTAAAACCACCAGTACCTTTCACAGCTTGAAAACCCGACTCCTGCCGGGTAACGCGGTGGGGTCGACCAAGAAACGCCCGGTCGCTGTTGGAGGACCGGGGTTATAGTGAAAACAAAAAACAAGAAGAAAAAACGCGCATTCATACCAGGAAACGCGGTGGGGTCGGCCAAGAATTGCCTGGTCGCTGTTGGAGGGCCGGGGTTATAATGAAAACAAAAAAGGAAAATTTGTCTGGCGCCCCTGTAATTTGCATTATTTCGCATCGCGCCCCTCCGACGGCCGATGTACCCTGTCGCGCCCCTGGGCCTAAAAGTATTTTCAGCAGGCCCTTGTTGGTAGTGACCGCAACTTTCCAGGACGCCCTCCTTGGACTG